GATGTATGGGTATCCTCTAACACTGAGGATACCTCTTTGCAGGAGGGAATGCCGGTAATTAGGAAGACAGGTAATAGTAATGGGGGATTCGATCATTAGAAATAAGTAGGTAGGTTTCTGATGACCAACAGAACTACATAGTGACTTGCCTGCCAGGTGCGAAGGTTGCGGATCTCTCGAGATATCTAAAGGGGACTTACATACAGTTCTGGGGAGGAACTGGTAGTTGTGGTACATGTAGATACCAATGATATAGGGCAAGCGAGAAGAGAGGTCTTGAAGGTCAAATTTAGACTTCTAGGTAAGAGATTGAAGTCCAGGACCTCTGTGGTAGCATTCTCTGAAATGATTTTAGTTCCACACGCAGGGCAGTTAGACAGGCAGAGCTGCAGGGTCTCAATGCATGGATCAGACAATGGTGTAGGGTCGAGAGATTTAGGTTTATTAGGAACTGGGGAGCCTTTTGGGAAAGGAGGAGCCTATATAGCGGAGATCCTGAAACTGTGGGACGTGCCCCCCTAGGGGAGGCTGTGGTGGGGCTTAGGCCAGCCCCCCCCACCCCCTCCGGGAGGTTGGGAGGGAGCAGCACCCAGCCCTGCTCCACTCCACTCCACTCCACTCCCAGCTCTGCTCTGGTGCAAACCGCAGTCCCGGCCCTAACGGCGACCTGGCTGCAACTCTGCATCTGGCCTTTCCTAGCCCCAGACCCACCCCAGCCCCTTACTTGTGTCTGCATTCCTCCTAACCCCCGGAGCTGTGGCCCTGCTCCTGGTCCCAACTCGGCGGGGTGGGGGGCAGGGAACAGGGGACCCTGAAAAGTTTGGGACCACTGCTATACAGGAAGGCAAATAGAAAGAGCATAAACTCTGGCAAATCAAGTGTAAAAGTTATAATTAGGCAGGCCAAAAAAGAATTTGAAGAGCAACTAGCCAAAGACTCAAAAACTAATAGCAAAAAAAAATTAAATATGTCAGAAGCAGGAAGCCTGCCAAGCAATCAATGGAGCCACTGGACATCAAGGTGCTAACAGAGCACTCAAGGAAGATAAGGCCATTGTGGAAAGCTAAATGAATTCTTTGCATCGATCTTCCCTGCAAAGGATGTGAGGGAGATTCCCATACCTGAGCCATTCTTTTTAGATAACAAATCTGAGGAATTGTCCCAGACTGAGGTGTCAGTAGAGGTAGTTTTGGAAGAAATTGATAAATTGAACAGCAGTAAGTCACCAGGCCAGATGATATTTACTCACTTTGTATAGTGGGATTGAACCAAACTCTAAACCCTATATGATGGAAACCACTTCAAGTCAGGGAATGTGGCAGCACCCCTAGTTCCAGCACCAATGTATTCACCCAAAAGTTTTGAAAACTCAAATATGAAATTGCAGAATTACTAACTGTGGTATCAAGTATCAGAGGGGTAGCCGTGTTAGTTTGGATCTGTAAAAAGCAACAGAGTCCTGTGGCACCTTATAGACTAGCAGACGTATTGGAGCATAAGCTTTCGTGGGTGAAAGCTTATGCTCCAATACGTCTGTTAGTCTATAAGGTGCCACAAATTACATACCACAGTTACAAAGAATCCTATCACTTAAATCAGCCTCTGGACCAGATGACTGGAGGATTGCTAATGTGGCACCAATTTTTAAAAAAGGCTCCAGAGGCAATCCTGGCAATTGCAAGTCAGTAAGCGTAACTTCAGTACCAGGCAGATTGGTTGAAACTATAATGAAGAACAGAATTACCAGACACCTAGATGAACACGATTTGTTGGGGAAGAATCAACATGGCTTTTGTAAAGGGAAATCATGCCTCACCAATCTACTAGAATTCTTTTGAGTGGGTCAACAAACATTAGGAAAGGGATAGATAGTAAAACAGTATATATTATAATGCCACTATATAAATCTGTGGTACTGCCTGCAGTTATGGTCACCCCATATCAAAAAAGTTAAAATTGGAAAAAGTATGGAGAAGGGCAACAAAAATGATTAGGGGTATGGAACAGCTTTCATATGAGGAAAGATTAAAAAGACTGTGTCTTTTTTTTTTCCAAGCTGAACAACAAAGGGGGGATATGAAGGAAATCTATAAAACCATGAATGATATGGAGCAAGTGAATAAAGAAGTGTTATCTACTTCTTCACATAGCACAAGACCCAGAGGTCACCCAATAAAGTAGGCAGCAAGTTTAAAACAAACACAAGGAAGTACTATTTCACACAACTCAGTCAACCCGTGGAACTCCTTGCCAAGGGATGTTGTGAAGGCCAAAACTATAACAGAGTTCAAAAAATAATTAGATCACTTCATGGAGGATGGGTCCAACAATGGTAAATTAGCCAAGATAGTCAGGGATGCAATCCATCAGCGTTCACGTCACGCTCCTTGTCAGTTCAAGCCCAGCCCAGGTCAGCAATAATATTTAGCATTTTATATCTTCAAGGTATTGTACTAAGGATTAACTAATGATGGGACTAAATTTAGGAGCTCTGTCATATTCTCAGTCCATCAGACCATGTTTCCCAAGCCATGGAAAGTGGTCTTCGTTTTAAGGTTGCTGGGTGGTGTATGTGAAATGAATTAGATGTTCTCTCAGTAGTTACCAATGGACAAGTGTCCACAAAACCACTATGGTTTTCAAGTGACCCACCTTTCTGGCAGTTTCAGCATGGAGACCTTCAGACCTAGCGTCTCACCTCTCCAGGTGGTTCCTTTAGGTCAGGACTGAGGCCCAGCAGTGTAGGGAAACTGTCACTGTAGCCCTCATTGTACTGGTCTGTGGATAAACAGTGGACTTTCTCCAACATCAACTGATCATTCCAGAGGCAGGAGGGTATAATGGGGGTTTTTCATGATTTTTTACATTTAAAAACTTGGGTCTTTCTATCCTGCTTTCCTGGAAGACTTGATGAATAACTAGAATTTAGTAGAATTTTGATGGAAACAAAATTACCAGTCCAGGTCAGCCTAGGCTAAACTACAAAAGTTTCTAGCCTGAAGCCAAGGACTGGGGTGTATCCAGACTAGTCTCTACAGAAGTGTTAACTACCTTCAAGTGAACTGGCAATCAGATCAGTTCCCTCAGTGATATTTATTCAGATTGAAAGACTTTGTTTTTTGTTTCTTTAACGCCTATTAAACTATAGCTCTTGGAAGAAAAGCTGTTTAAGAATTTAACACTCCCGTTACTTCAGATAAAAGCTGAGAGATCTCCCAATAAACATCTGAAAATCATCTTCAAAAAAAGAAAGAAAAGACAAGACTTGACATTAATTGATGATGATCCAAAAGGGGAAAAAGCAGTTCTTTGTTTTTCCTTTGGAAAACACACATCTTTCAGGTCCTTATGCATCATAAAGAACTCCCCACCCCAAAAAACATCCCCCCAAAAACAGTTAAGCCTCCCTCTGCATCTTCTCTCTGTAGATCCCTCTTTTAAATTCCAATTTAGAATTATTGTATGAATTACCAACATCATGTGATGAGGATAACCAGCCTTAGCTGTCTACTCAGTCTTCCAAAAAAGGTCAGCCATAATTTTTTCAAAAATAACCATCACTAAAATACTTGCAGCCCCGGTGGCTGAATTTCAAAGGGGGAAAAACAACTGGGGAAACTGCATATCAGGGTTCTCTCAATGTCTGTGATTGAGGGTTCTTTCTAGCTCAACACATCACCACCACCAGCAATAAAAATTCTGCAACATGGACTTAGTTAACAACTCTGTTACAAGCATAAGCTGGAGTAAAATCAAGCTAGTTCTCCCATTGCTGAGTTTTGCCGTACTAACAAGACTTAAAGGTACCAAAACTGTCAATAAGACCGGCAGATGTTAATTTCAATACATACAGTAAGCAGATTTTCAAAGTGAAATCCTGATTTGAAATAGTAATTTTTCTCTGCCAATAACCATACTAAAATTATTACAAAGCAGGGAAGGTACTAGATTACATCTTAAAACACACTACATTGAATTACAGTGCCTCTTTTATACTGGAATTTTTAGTGTACACTTCTTGACTTCTACATATTTTCAGAGAAACAAAGTGAAAATTAGAAGCAAAACTTAAATGAAGGAGCCATGTATGCCTTATGGAAAAGCTTGCTCTACAAGTAAGTTGGTAGGCAGGGTGGGACTTAAAGGTGACCTGCAAAGGAAAAGAGGGATGAGTCACCTTTTTTGGTTTGTGATGTGTAAAAATGCACTCTTAAGATCCCTGTTAAGGTTTCCCCATTTAAAAAAAAATCTGCTTGTTACTAGCAGGAATGTTAAATCTGGTCTTTCTCTGTTTAGTTGGAGATCTTTCTTAGGTGACTTTGATAGTGGAGGAGATCTCTGCTATTAACTGAAAGGATAGGGAGTTAAATGTTCAGTAAGAGTGTTTCTTCCAATTCTACTCAGGCATTTGAATTAAATAGGTGTTCACAAAAATCAGATTTGTCTAACTAAAAACCCCATCCCTGCTTAGATGCTGATCCTCCAAATGCTTATGCATGTACTTGATGTAGTGAGTAGTCCCATTAATTTGAACACGATGATTAAGGATTGGGGCCTTAGTTAGTCACGTTCCACTTTTACGGTTTCTCTGATATTCTTCAGTTGTCCGGACAGTCTTCCAGTAAAAACAGCGTACTCAAGTTCTGAATTTCTAATGTTAAAACTAAGAAGTCATCCCCACTCTCTCCCACCACTTAAAGCTCCCCCCCCCCCAATGCTACTTTTATACACAACAAAAACAAACAAAGCGGGAGAAGGGCACAGACCTACTTCCCCTCTTCCCACCCATTTGTGATCACCTTTAAAGTTCTAAGCCTGAGTAGTTGCAGGGCTGGCTCCAGGGTTTTTGCCGCCCCAAGTGGCCTCGGGGGTGGGGGGGAGAAAAGCTGCGATCGGCGGCAGCTCCACTCCGCCGCTTTCTTCTTCGGCGGCAATTCGGCCGCAGGTCCTTCACTCCGAGAGGGACAGGGACCCTCTGCTGAATTGTCACGGAAGAGCCCGACGTGCTGCCCCTTCCTGTTGGCCGCCCCAAGCACCTGCTTGCTCAGCTGGTGCCTGGAGCTGGCCCTGAGTAGTTGAGACGTAAAATATGAAAAATAGGCTCGAGAAAGTTTGGGGCCAGGCTCATAGATTTGAGACGCAAATTCACTTATGAAAGAGAGTGAAGTTGTGGTCATGATAAATTTGGTCCTTACAGTTAAGTCAGATTTATTGAGCTGTATCAGTTTGATGCAAATCAGGCCAGGATTTCTAAAAGTATGGTAAGAGAGGCGATCAAAGTGTAATCCGAAAGGCTTGTATATGACACAAGGGTTTAGAGAGACAAGATGGGTGAGAGACAAGATGGGTGAGGAAATATCTTTTTTTGGACCAATTTCTGTTGGTGAGAGAGACAAACTTTTGATCTTATACAGAGCACTTCTTCAGGATTAAATGATTTTAACACTGATATAACTACGACAGTACTGTAAAGTCCCAGGGCTGGTCTACACTAGAAAATATGTCGCTCAGGGGTGTGAAAAATCCACACCTCGGAGTGATTTAGTTAAGCTGACCTAACTCTGTGTAGACAGTGCTAGGTCAATGGAAGAATTCTTCTGTCAACCTAGCTACCGCCTCTAGCGGAGGTGGCTTATGTACGTCGACAGGAGAACCCCTCCCATCAGCATAGGTAGGATCTGCACTTAAGCACTACAGTGGTGCACATGCAGCTGTGCTGCTGTATTGTTTCAAGTGCAGACAGACCCCCAATGTAGGTGTGCTGCCTGGTCACCAGTATGAAGTGGGGCTGGCACTGCCAGTATAACTTAACCTTGGTTTGAAACTACACAGCAGTAAAAATGCCTAAATGTAGGCATGCTCTAATGCAGTGGTTTTCATTTGCAGACACCTAAAAATTTTCAAATGGAGGTGCGGACTCCTTTCGAAATCGTAGACATAGCTTGTGGACCATATAGGTTGAAAACCACTGCCCTAATGTGAGACAGTCCTACAGGCTTATTAATGTTCTGGAAAGGGAACTACTAAAACTCTCTTCACTCCCTGCAGAGAACATGGGAAGGTGGTGACAGCCCTATAGACTGATGGGCAACGACTTTGACATTGTACTGGAGATATTACTTTTATAATGAGAAATGTTACAGACATTGTCATAAAAGCAGATTCTTGGGACTGGCTTAGTTAGAAAAATGGATTCATTTTAAGAAGATGTCTACAGAATTTGTATGTCTTGCTCAGTCTAGGATGGACCATAAATGTTTAATGCTTAGAACACTGGCCTTTTCCTAGAATGCCAGCCAAATTAAATTGAGGACTGGTGTGTATTCAGAATCTTGATTTGCTTCACCCTTCCCCTTTGCCTCCAATTAGATGAGCGATAAGGAGAAGGAGGAATGATGCTCTTCATTCACCCTCTTCTTTACTGTTTCACTGGGTTCTCTGCTCCCTAGTCTTCACTGCTGCTCCAACTGGAGGAGAATTGGAATGGTGAACCAAATTAACACACAGCATGTTAGCTCACCCTAAGCAGTAGAGTTTTTGTGAAATCCACCCACACAAAGCTATAATCACCACTTAAAAACAACCAGCAAAGTGGGGATGGAGGGTGGGAGGAAAGGTAGGTTTGTGTTGTCCCCCCATTTTTTTCCAGTTATCTTTAAATAAAACCTACAAGGATGGAGACATTTATCAAAGGTATTGTTTGTTTGCTTTTAACTTTGAAAATGTCAAGGCTGGTCTTTCCTGGTTTCATGGTGGACTCATTTGGGATCCCAGAATTGTATATTGGGTGTTTTCTCGGCTCTTAACTGAAAGCGGTAGGCTCTTGAAGCCTTAAAGAGATCTTTTCACTTAAGTGTTTGAAATAAATAGTTGTGAATAAAGCTGAACAAAAATGTCTGAATAAAAACCACTTACCTTCTCACTTAAAAAGGCAAATCTTCCTTGGTACTTTTAATTTTGTAATCCTAGCAGCTCTCTAGTCATCCATAGTCTTCTGGGGTAAGTAAGGCTTGAATTCCTGAGATAAATCAGTAGGGAAGAGAAAAACCTTTTAAAAGCAAAACCGTTTAGGTCCCTTCATACATGACCGGGAACAAGCTCAGTTCACTCTTTCCTCCCTCTTCTAGGTTATGTTTAAGAACTTAACAAAGGATATAAAGAGTGTGTTTGGCCTTCTGTGGGCCTCTACACCTGTGTAAATGTCACTCTAACTGAGGTATTCAAAGTACTGGTAAGAACAGAAAATGGCACAACAGGAATCCGATCTCCTGGAAGAAATGTAATGGGAGCAGAAAATGGTGTGAATATGTAATGCAAACTATTCTTCTGGCAATCTTTGTGTTCCTCTTTGCTTTGTCCTGTGAAGGTTTGATGGCAGGCAGCAGCAGACTGCCCCCTGGCGGAGGTATGTGGCGCACTCTTGAAACCTGGGATAGCCAGTGGCCTTTCTCAAATGGCAAAAAGTCTTCAGAGAACTTGCCAAATAACACCCACATGACAGATGTAAAATTAGAAAATTTAAAAGGAATTGAACACAGCTTTTGATGTCTGACTGTGCTAGTGTTACAGCCCACAGCATCAGGAGAAAGACAAGCTAACATTGGCAATGGATTAGTTTTAATCAAATAACCAGACATTTCTGCTTAATGCTGACAAGCTGAAATAGGATATTTGATCAAAAAGACGCAGTGGTTCAGTCTGTCTCCTTCTCTACTAAAATTGCAAAGCATCAAAATAAGCACATTCAACATAAGTTGAATTTGGTTTAGAGAGGGTGAAGGGTGTTTATCATATACAGCTGAGCATGAGTCATCTGAGGCAAAAGCTGCAGTTTTCTCTTTTTTCAGCCTCTCAGCAATAACCCACAAAGAATCTGATAAATACTGAATTATACCACAGGGCAACTGTTCATACCTTTAATATGCTCTGTTTCCCGTTTTTTTCCCCCCACATTCACCTTCCGAATAAATGCCCTGTCACAAAAACAGAACTACTAGTTAAAATTATGCTTTGCATTCCACATCTGCTTCTGTAACTAACAAGATGAAGTCCCCATAAGTACCATATACTTTAGAGAGCTCTCTGACCTATTGCAGAGCCCACAGAGAGGGCAACAACACAATTCTACCAGGCTCTAGAAAGTCAGAGGTTCACTGCAGAATCCAGGACTTTTAAACAGGGTTAAGGTCACTCGCTGCTGGTCATGTTTGATTAAATGATAAAATAAAACATGGATTTAAATCCTTTCACATAGACAAAGGTTGAGCTCTGTGATTTTTATATCACACGTTCTGGAGTCTTACTGAATGAACTCTGAATGTTTTTAAGGGCAAGTGATTAAAACTGTTCTGGCTGAACAGTACAGATTTATGATCATGATGTAATTTATAAAAATTCCAATGAAATCAAGGCACATTCAAGCTGTATTAGCCAAAGATATAGTACTAGCTTCCCCTTCTGGCCAAAGAGAGCAGCAATCCCTGGGCAGGAAAAGTTTTACAGAAATGTAGGTCTATATTCTTGTGTACGCTTAAGATATGGATTATTAACGTGTCTTGTATCACCAAGATATATCCACCTCCATTACCTGACTGCCATTCAGGTAAGTGCTGCAGATCAGAGCACTCAGGTCAATATATTACTGGGAACAAAAAATTGCTGTCTGAAAATATGGGATAGATGAGAAACAAAGTTTCTCTGAAAGTGTGGTCTTACTATGAAAAGTGACTAGATAAAAGTGGCACTTTCTTCTGCAACGTGTCTGTTCTCTGTGTATTTTCAGAATCTGATCCCCTGACATTAGGGACAAATACATTTTTACTCCTCTTGGGCCAGGTCTAATCTAGAAACTTTGTCAGTATAGCAATGTAGTTTAGGGGCGTTTTTGCAATATTTCTATACTGGTAAAAGCCCTAGTGTAGATGCAGTTACACGGGCAGAAAGTGTTTTTGCTAGTATAGCTTATTTTACTTGGGGAACTGCTATAAGTTATCCCAACTAAAAGCACTTTTTTTCTTATATGAAGTGTGTCTACACTGGGACGGTTTGCCAGTATAACTGTACGAGCAAACTTTTTCTAATATAGACTTGGCATCAGTCTTTCAATGCCAGCACAGCTCCAATAGAGACAGAGTGAACTGGATTTTATTCCTCCGTGTACATCATCATTCTTCCTACCTTTCACCCCATTCCCTCTTATTGTTGTTTGCACTTATTTATTGTATCTTGTCTTGGCCCAGGAGATCTTGGTTTCCTAACCTGGTGAACATGTCAATAAACCCATCATTTTTCCTGACTCCAGGGCTGGATTTGTTATTGTATAGACCAGTTCTTCTACAAGTTAAATCTAGCAGCTTGGCATTTGAAAAGAAGTTTGGTGTGCTCACTGCATGGAAGAAGGCAAGACACACGGTAAGGGTTTTAACTAGGCTGCAGCTCTATTAGTTAAATTACATCCAAGGTTCCTGTTGAGGGACAGCCCCGTCACTTGCACCCCATTGATTCTTTGACAATTCTTGGGGGGCTTCCACTGCAGGGGGAGTCCATCATCACATTAGGAGGACTCTGGGCACTTTCACTCCCCTGCTAGCATCTCTCCCCCTTTAGGGAGTTGAGGTCAGAGGGGACCTTGACCCTCAGCTTGCACCACCACCAAGTACATTGGCTGGGTGTCCCCTGGCCTCTGGTTTGCATTTTCCCCCAGGAGGTTAGACATAATGTCCTAATGAGATGGGGGCATCACCTTGGGATGCCTGCTACATGATCTGTTTGTATCTGGAGTCTAAATCAGTGAGTTCCCTCTGCATTGGGCACCTGTCACAAGTAGGCACCAGCATCAGGTTGGCTGCCTCCACCCCCATGTGCCTGCACCAAGTTACCTAGAAATTCAGCCAACCCACTATTGAGATCATCCAGGAACAAATCTGCACCTGTATCAGAAAAAGCTTAGGCACAGGCTGGGCTGATGATAACCAAGTTACCTCAGGACTCCAGCCATGTTAGTACTCTCCAGTTGGCCCTCCTCCAGGCCCTATCCACATTTTTGTGGGTGAATTGCAGTCTGCCAAACCCTGCAGACTACTAACTCCAACTGTATTATCCCCATGCTAGGAAACATGTCCAGCAGCCATCCAATATCCTGCTTAGCCTTCCAAATCAGGTGGAGCCTGGAGCACGTTCCCAGGTCATTCTTCCCTAGGGGGATAATAATTTGTGGCATATCCTTACAGGGCACCAGTCCATGCAAAAGAGGCATGAGCTGATCCCACTACATGCCCTGTCTGCTGTGCCAAGATAAAATCACATCCAGCCTGAAGACCAATTGCAAGCCCTTTGCTGAATTACACGCTCTTTTGTAAGTCCAGTGCACAGTGCTGCACCAGCAAATCCATATCACCAGCTATAGACATGCTCCAGTACATTCTATATGATAGACGGGGAAGGAAGCAGACATGGTTAAAACCTGTGGTGCTTATGGACCACCACCATGTCAGCCTCCTTTCAGGCAGCTGCACATAGGCCTTACAGGCCCTGGATCTCTGGTGTGCCAAAACCCAACTGGGTAGCTGCTGTTGCAGCTACTATATGAAACTGATGTGTATTCCAGCCTACTTGCCAGGCTGTTGATCTGCACGTCAGACTTTAGGGGGCTTTCTCATGATGGCATCTTTGTGGTCCTATGACCATACAACTGATGCTGAATGAAGTAGTGGGTAAATAGAGAAATGTCCAGCTAGGCCAGAGAAGGTAGTGAGAATCCCACTGGTGACTGGATTGATTTAAAATAAGGGAGATAATTTTTTTTTCTCATAAGGAAAATACTAAGTTCAGTAACTTCCAACACACTCACCGTCCTCCCACCCCTCGGCCTTGCAAATGGAAGAAAAGCTAGGGTGTGTGGGTAAAGCAGCCAAGGTGGAATCTCAGGCTTTTCAGTTTTCCATTATAAACAGGTATACACACATTATCTTTTTTCACAGGGGGACAGCATGTTAGTGAATGAGTTGCTGTGGGGATGAAGTTGTCAGGGGAGGGTAGAAATCCCACTGTTTGAAGTCTAATTGAGGGTTGTTTAGCAGTGCTCAGGACAGGTGACAGGATACTATGCTCTCTTCACCCTACCTGCTCCTCTTTGTGGCTGTTCCCATGAGATATGCTGGCCAGGACTAGAATGTAATAGCAGAACAGTACCGGGAGGTGGGGGGTGGAGGGAAAGGGCTATGGATGTGGGGTGTCTGGGTATAGGTTGTCTATGTGTGTGTATGGGGAAGTCTGTGGGTGTTGGGAGGGGTGTGTATGAAGGTGGGTGTTGGGAGGGGTGTTGGGAGAGGTGAGTGTATAGGGAGGGGTGTATGTGCATGTGTGTATGGGGGATGTCTGTGTGCTGGGAGATGTCTGTCGGGGCATTGAGACAGTTATGTGAGTGGTGGTGTCTGGGGGTGTTGGGAGAAGTGTGTGTACAGGGGGTGGCTGTTGGGGGGTATAGGAAGAGGGGTGTGTGTGTGTACAGGGGGTGGCTAAGGGTGTGTGTTGGGAGAGGTGTGTGTACAGGGTAGGGTTGCCAACTTTCTAATTGCACAAAACCAAACACCCTAGCCCTGCCCCCCCGCTCATTACATTCCCCCTCCCTCAGTGGCTTGCTCTCCCCCATCCTCACTCATTTTCACTGGGCTGGGGCAGGGGGTTGGGGTGTGGGAGGGGGTGAGGTGAGGGCTCCAGGGTGGGGCCAGAAATGAGGGGTGCAGGAGGGGGCTCTGGGCTGGGGCAGGGAGTTGGGATGAGGGAGGGGGTGATGACTCCGGCTGGGATGTGGGCTCAAGGGTGGGGCTGAGGGCTTTGGGTGCAAGAGGGGGCTCCAGGCTGGGTGGTGGGGCCAAGGGATTTGGTGTGTGGGAGGGGGCTGTAGGTTGAGGCAGGGGCTTGGGGTGCAGGAGGGGGTGTGGGCTCTGTGGTGGGGCCAGAGATGAGGGGTTCAGGATGTGTGGGGGTTGAGGTGAAGGGGTAACCCCTAAGCGGTGGCTGCTGGTGTTGGGATGTCTGCTGAGAGAGGTGTGTGTACAGGGGGTGTCTGGGAGTGTAGGGAGAGGTGTGTGTACAGGAGGTGGCTGGGGAATGTCTGTTGGTGTAGGGAGAGGTGTGTGTACAGGGAGTGTCTGCGGGTGTAGGGAGGTGTGTGTGTACAGGGGGTGCCTGGGGGTGTAGGGAGAGGGGTCTGTGTGTGTTTGTGTACAGGAAGTGTCTGGGAGATGTCTGGGGGTGTAGGGAGAGGTGTGTGTGTACACGGGGTGGCTGGAGGTGTCAGGGGTGTACGGAGAGGTGTGTGTGTGTGTGTGTGTGTGTGTGTGTGT